TTTAAGAGTTTTTGTCAAATGTTTTATAATATAATATAGATATCAGTAAGATCATCTCAATCTAAAGATTTGGACGGAGTTTTCGGTTTTTTTTCTTCAAGGTTCTATCCTTATCTCATCCCCATATTTAGGAAAATCTCAAGGGAGAATCTAGAAAAAAATAACCGAAAAAACACAAAAACCAAATGAAAAAAATATACCAAAATGGACATCAAATTATAGATAATAAAGTGATCGTTTTCTTTGTGTAATTTGTTTCACTCAAGTTTTTATTATATTTCGTCGATTTTAATTTAAAAAATGGTGGATGATATTTTTGTATATATTTTTTAAAGTGGTTATAACAATCTTTTTAACTATCATTCGATCATCTCAATCTAAAGGTTTGGGTGGGTTCTTCGCTTCTTCTTTTTTCAAGATTTGTAACATCCCAAAATTTCGAATACTTAAATATATCAAAACTAGTATCCCAAGATCAAACACTTATATTGCAGCGGAAATAAAATTTCTAATATTACAAATTACATCACCATCTAAATTACAATCTTGAGGAGCATAACGTTGCTCTATGTAACAATGTCTTGATCTGCACATAACCTTCTTTGAAGCTAATCCTTATCTCTCTTTATTGCACTTTTCTTTTCACTCAAATAGCCGCCTGGGTGAAAAAGTTTTAAAAGAGTTTTGGGTGAGCCTTAGGCCCGGTGAATCCACGGTTTTCATGCACGAACAACAACTTTTACAATGAATAATTTTCACGAAGCTTCATAAATTTAGCATGTCTTGATGAGAATAACACTTTTCACAAAATAAATATATTATAGTGTGTGTCTACATCACAAAGCAACAACGTCATGGGAGATGTCTACCTCACACAGCATTACCTGGCGAACTCATACAACATGTCCGCACTTACGGCTTAGACAAGCTCATAAAGCATGCTTGCCTTTACAAAATAATACTGTAGTACATCCCTATTGACACACAAATACACAAAACACATATTATAAAAATATCGCACTTTTCACACTTATATAACGTATCAAAAATCTCGAGAGGTTTCAAACAACTTGTGGATAATAAGAAATAAGGCATGCAACCATTTTAAAAATAAATCAGGTGTAACTCACAATACATGGCGTAGTCCAAACCGATCTTTGACTTGGCTAGCGTCTCCCCGATTGGTGCCAAACTAGCTACGATGTAGAGCACCATCAACTCTCATTACAACGTCCACCGTCGCATTTTCTCACAATAGTTCTCCTTCTTGACCCCAAGCTACATATAAAGCTACAAACTCCCATTTTATATTAAACCCCATCGGCGGTTTCACGGAATATGGAATGATAAGTCATGATTAATTATCGTAGGTTACATGACCATTGGGTTTCATGTCATTAAATTACATTCAATTTTAAGGTCTAAACCCTTCACTTTGATTGCATTTACACTACAACTCCTTAAAATTTAACGACTACCAATTCATTTCCACTTTTTTTTTGTTATTACAAGATTCTTTCCTGAGCTTATCCTATATTTAGAGAAATTATTATGAGAGAACCTTAAAAAAAGAAGTGAATAACCCATAGAAACCTTTAAATTGAGATGATCCTACAAAAAAAAGATGGCGATAGTCACTTTCTAAAAATAAAATGTAAATATAAAAGGTAAACTACAATTTTGGTTATGTAAAGACAAAACAAATTAGACAAAAAAGAATAAAAAGACACAAATGCCCCTTATTTAACAATAGTGATCAGAGATAATTTTCAAAACAAAATATAAATAATAGAGACAGTAATTATAGTCATTGAAGTTTAGGGACCATTTTTAACAAAGAAAGAAATAAAAAAACAAGTATATATTTTACTCAAACGATGAATAAATAATTAAGAAAAAAATTATACGAATTATGTTATCTTTAATGCTATGATGTCGAACTCATTTAACGAAGTAACTGAAGGAAAAGAAAGAGAGGTAAATATGAGGAAAGTGAAAAAAAAACTCGTGTTCTCAAAACTCTTTTTAGGAGAGAAACGAAAGAAAAGGAAGGAAAAATAATGATTAGTTTCATTTCAAAACTTTCCTCCTAAATGTGAGATGAAAAGAAAGGAAAGTACACAAAATAAATTAAAATCATTTAAAAAATTATTAAAATTACAAAACTATTTGATTTTTCATTCTAAATGATATAATTTTAAAGGGCATATTAGTAAAAATGACATTTCTTTTTTTATCTCTTGTTCAAGAACATAATTTTTTTTCCTTTTCCTTTTCTTTCGAGAATACATATAAACAAATTCTATGTCTCTCCTTTTTTCCCCTCCCTTTCTTTTCCTTTTCTTTCTCCAAATTTGAGAACATAACTGTTTGCTACAAGTCTAATGAGCTTGATAGGACTCATAGTTTATTCAGTAAGCTATACATGATTGTTTGATATTGACTTAATTATGTAACATCTCAGGCTAACCATATCAAATATAGTCTGCTTTGTCCACATCTAGACTCGCGGTTATAAAAAAAATGTTTGATAAAGGAGATATCCAGATCAGTTCCCTCCCCAACCGATGTGGTATCTTACAATCCACCCCGCCTATTGTCCTAGTTGGTACACCAATGCAGTTCTCGGCTCTGATACCATCTCTAACATCCTAAGCTAACCGTAATAGATATTGTCAGTTTTGTCCATACCTGGACCCACAGTTTTAGAACGCGTATGATAGATGAGGTTTCTAGTTCCTTATAAGGCAACCTTAGTTCCCTCCGTAACTGATATGAGATCTTACAAATTATATAGAAATTGGCTTACTCGTTACGCTTTTATGGGGAGCTTTATGCAGAATGCCAAGTTTTTTTTTACAAATATGTCAATTCCAATTAAAAACACACTCCTTCCATCTATGAAAAAAAAAAATTCAACAAAAACTCTCATAATTTATATAGACATATTAATCCACATTTATACATACAAAACCTAATAGAAAAAATATATCTGGCGAAGGGTTAGAAGGTGGCCTGCCACCTCGAACATATATCATATAAAAATAACACATATATCATATAAAAATAACCCAGGGCCTGATGACCCTTTGGGTTGGACAATTTCAAATAACTGATCCACCCTACTCTCATCACTTCGACTAATTTATAAACCTATGAAACCTCGGGTTAGATAGGGGTAGGTTATTCTGCCTATTTTTGGGTTGGGTTGGTAAAGGTTGACAATATAGCCAGGTTTTTGTACATCCCTTCATTTTAGTATATATGATAAAATCATCTCAAAATGAAAGTTTGGTAGAAAACAATAATAATTCAAGAATGATTTTTAGTTTAAAAAGTTATGTTATGTTTCATTTTTTGTTCAGAAAGTTATCTTTATATTTCTTAACTACATCGAAAACATTTCAAAATTTGGGTTTTTAAAAGTTGGTTCTCCAAAATAAGAACCGAAACAAAGTATCTTCTATTTTAATGTTGACTAAGTTATAATTAAAAGTTAAAACTAATGTTTTCATAAAACTATAGGGAACATTTATATAAAACGAATCAATGCAGATAGATGGTTAAACATAGGGTATTATTTGGTCGATTTGATCTGTCTTTGCTTTATTAGGTTTTCGACTTTTTTAGAATTACCAGATAATCAAACCAAATTAGGGACAATTTTATTGATTTTGGGTTATTTTATTCAGTTATTAGATACAACGAACACGGTTTTTATTTTAGTAAGATTTGTTGAACAAACTTTGTTTGTTTGTTTTTCGCAAAATTTTGTATAGGAAATCAAGGTCGTCTCTTAGCATGTTAAATGTAAGATTTTGAACAGGGCCTCCGATATTTTGGGGCCTAAATTTACATGTGTTTAGGGTCTTTTTATCGACTTGTGTAAAACTATGGCCGAAATTGTTTAGGTTCAACCCATTAATTGTTTGGTTTTGGGTTCAAATTATTAATGGTTTAGGTTTAGTTTCAGATTGTTAATCGTTTTAGGTTTAACCCATTTTTGTTCTTAACATATATATTTTATGATATCTCATTTATACAATATAATCAAAAGTTTTAGATATAACAGAAGCTACAAAAAGATTGGAAAATAATTAGGACTTCCTTGGGTAAGTTATGGAAGCCAAAAAGTTTCCCAATGAATTACAAAATGAATATTATTTAAATTTCAAAAGTGTTTGTAAATATAAAATATATAAAAAATAATTAATATGTTGGTTTGTTCGGTTAATTTTTTTTTTTTTTGTAAGGGTGTCCGGGCCAAAGTCCGACTAATCCCCGGCAATTTTGGAGGCTAAGCATGGCCCCACTAAAATGTCGCCAACACTCCCCTTCCAGGGCTCGAACTCGGGTTCATGACTATGCCATGCCCAAGCCTTTACCAAAGTCCGACTAATCCCCGACAATTTTGTTCGGTTAATTTAGTTTAACCAAATATACAAAAGAAGAACTAAAAAACCAAATTAAACCAAACCAGACTATATTTTATTCGATTAATCAAAACACATTTAATCAAGAAACCATGTAACTCAAAATTTGTGGGTTATTCGGTTTCGTTATTATTGTTATACGCTAGTTAAATAGATAAACAAACAGACACTTCCTTTAGATTTTTCAAGATCGGTCCAACCCATCTTTCTTACCATGTAAGAATGTCATGAAAGATTGCCCATCCATGTGCATAATATCCAGATCCAGACCTATAACTTTTTTTTTCAAACAGTCCTTAAAACGATTACATAATATGAAATAAACCAAATAAGGAGAAATGCTATAAGTCAAAGTCAACTTCGTTCACTCATTAGCGAAGCGTTAGTAGCAATCTTTCTATCAATTTCTTACTTTCCTTGCCATCTTGATTAATTATAGAAAAATATGGTTTCATTAAAAATGACATACAACCGTTTTTGGCAACACCCAAGTAGATATTTTCTTTTTTTCCGCTCTATGATATTGTTGTTACCAAAAAATTAAAAGAAAAAAAAAATAGGTAAAGGGATTTAAAATTGCAACCTATAATATTATATGTAATGACACTATCAATACCCACATGTTACAACCACTTTGATAGCAGRTGCACCTTTAAGGCCCTTAATTGTTTTTCTATTATGACAAATCGATTGAGTGGTAGTCTGTGCACCACGGGACGTCTTAAGAGGTCGTCCCTTGGTCAGATAAATGATAATAGCGATTACGTGACAAAATACATATTCAAAGTGAAGAGAAAATAGGAATTGTTGCCAAGCTGGTACCGGCATCGGCAATGAAACAGCTTCCCGTCACATATACTGAAGAGTCGTGGATCAAATAGCGTGCGAGGGATGTCAAGGCTGGATTTATCGTGCCCAACGTTTTCAAAGGAACCGTCCTTAGAGTTACGTTATTGAACCAATCCTTGTCTACTAGTCCTTGAGTGATCTCAGTTCTAAAAATTCCAGGATTTATGCAGTTCACTCTTATGTTGTTGATTCCCAACTCCATTGCCATTACCTGTTATCATTATATATTTCATATAAATTAGCATATCATGTAAGGACATCTTACCCTCTTCGAATCCTATTCTATTATGTGTGAGATGTATTGGGTTTGTAAACCAAAAACAATAAGCCATTCATGTCAAGATAGAGATTAGGAATGGAGTAAATAGGAAGCAAATGGGAGTTGTTTGGTTAAATGACTGGTATTACATTCAAATCAAATCTGTGATCTTTCTGACATGTTCGAGAATATCCGCATTTAACAGGAAAAAATCCTACTATACACAAAAACGTCTAAAAACCTATCAGAACGTTATGAATTTAAAAAGCACTTGTCAGGATGTCATTTAGCTAATTAACCCCTACAAATGGTGCAATTTAGTTAGGCTGAACCTTCTATGGAAGTCATTTTACAAAATGATCTTTGCTTAACACACAAGACCAAGTCATTTGAAAGTTACTAGTTAATACAAGAAATTTAAAAGAACATGCTGCTAATTGAAAACTCGTTTAAAGTCGGTACCTTTGTCATAGTATTAACTGCAGCCTTTGAAGAAGCATAAGCAACGCCTCCGGGCAGAAAAACGCGATTAGTACCAGCAATGGATGAAATGTTGATCACGGAACCTCCCTGTTTAGCTTTACGCATGTTTATACAAACATGCTTTGCCACCAACCAGGATCCCGTTAGATTTGTCCGGAAGATATAATTCCAGTCTCCCTCTTCAAAATCCATCGGGTTACGGGGTTGGCCTACGTTGTAGAATCCAAGATTATTAGCCCATGTATACCGGCTATAAATTAACAAGTTTTATGTAAAAACTAGTATAAATGTATGTATTTAGATAGAGGAACAAAAAGAAAAGGAAATCAAGGTTGTTTATCCAGAAAAGGAAATAGAAATTTGTATGAACAAACTAAATCAAACCAAACGAGCCAAGTATATCTCACCTTAAAGGGAGGGTAAGATGTATGTAGATGGACCTCTACCTCAAAGAGTAGAGCTGTTTTTTACATAAAGAACCCCAACTTGTGAAAGGATGACATGTAGATTTACATGAAAAAATTAAGGGACGTTTGGTTTGATGGAATGGTTTTCCGAGATTCGGATTCCATGAAAGGATTTGAAATTTTTGGTATGTTTGGTTGTAGGATTTGGAATGAAATTGAATTTCATTCTTTATAAATAATTTCTAAAAACAAATTATAAATAATTATAAAAATAATTAGATTACTTTTTTATTAGTTAATTATTACAAAGCAAATATATATTACATACAAAATCCTACGAAATTCCGTGTAATACCAACTATCCCGTGGGATTTTTTAAAATCCTATGTTAATGAAATTCTGGGACTTCAAATATAGGAAATCCTTCAAACCGAACATGAAACCTGAATGAAATCCAATGCAATCCTATAAACCGAAAATGTCTTGAGTGCAAACAGTTTATCTATATATGAAGATTGTAACAGATGTGGTTACTACTTTCTCATTTATGTTTCCCAAAAGCACCCTCATTCACTTCCATTCTCATGGGGAGAATTGAAAGCTTGGCCATTTGGTTCTTATGGTTTACTTTCTATTCTTGTTAAATTGTAGCAACTGTTATACAGAATTGACATAAAAAATTTAGAGTTTCTTTATTACAACATTTTCTAGCTAACCAAAGGATTATTGGCCCAACTGTACCTGATTTACGGTACCCAACCTCTTTGGATTCAAACCTCACAAAAAAAAAAAAAGAGTTTTTGCTGTATATAAATATTATATATATTCGAGATGGGTTAACTTTACTACTCTCTCCTTTCAAAAAGAATTCAAAGCTTTTTATTTTTCTTGTAAGTTTGGAATTTAAATCTTGTTTTGTTGGTTATTACTTCATGTTTATGGTTTTCATTTCGAAAAAAGTCATCAACTAGAAAAGTTAATAAACGTTGTAATATATTGTAACATATTCTTAATACAAGTTGTCATATATTAACTATGAAGGTGTGATTAATGATGAATTATACATCTATATTCATCATAAATATAATATGCGATGAATAAGACTTCCATATTTATCATTTTGAAGATGAATATTCATTGTAATTATTGACAACGTTATGAATAAATTTAAATTTATTTCAAATTATATTAAAAACAACATAAACATAAACAATTAAAGAAAAACACAAGTACCTGAAATGCCGGCATTATTAATCAAAGCATCAATGTGCCCAAACGCTTCCCATGCCTTCTGTACCGCCGCCTTGATGGTGACCTCATCCGCACTGACGTCCAGCTGCACAGCAAAGGCTCTCACCGGCACCGCTTCCGATTTCGATTTGGATTCAGATCCGGTGGAGATCGTCATTCCATTAATTTCATCACACAGCGATTTAAGTAGATCCATTCGGCGAGCACAAGCGATTATCTTACAACCAGATTTAGCTAAATCGAGACAGAATTCTTTGCCGATACCAGACGATGCTCCGGTGACAAACACCACTTTTCCGGTGAGATCGTGCCATGGCTCCAGTACTTGCTCAACTTGGCTCGCCATCTCCGATCGAAGAAACAAGTGACGGATGAGTGAGCAGATTTGGGCGGCTTTATGCTGATCAGTAGAGCAGTCTGGTTTGAATAGAAACCTGTGTGGAACACAAACACTTATATGCGTGCTTGTTGACTTGGGTCCATTGGTTCAAAGTTAGTGGGCGCATGATCTGTATACGCCAAATTCAAGGTAGATGGCTTTTCCTACGCAAATAACTTGAGTACCATCAAACATTTTATAAATTTTTTAAATATATCTATACTATATTATAAAGGATTTGGCTAAAACTCTTAAAAATTCTTAAACTCTTAAAAACTCTTAAACTCGTTCATTCCTAAACAATTTCATCCCTATCCGATTTCATCCCATAACTGAATTCGTGTAACT